ATCAGTAAATGCTTTATGACTGCCCTTCAAATTATCTCGCTTTGCACACTCTGATTTATGTTTTAAACACATGCACGATTATCCATCAACCATCAAAAGAATCCACAACAACCAAGGAGTGCTTAATAGAATAAGAAAACACCATGAATCCATACTTGGTTGGTATCCTGCTATAACTTAATGGCTGTGTTCAAACATAATGTTAAGTCATTGTTTATACTAAAAACAGTTTGTTTTTTTAACCGTGAATTGTCTTGCAGACAAGCAAAGATACCACAATCTTTCCCCCCTATTTCTTATTATTTCTCTCCCACCTATTTTACCTGCCTTTTGTTCAGACTGTTCTTCTTGTGTGCTGCTTTATCAGACAACAGCACAAATGAGCCAAAGATAAGCTAAGTTCTGAGTTCCAACAGCATGGTACGCCATGGTTTTTAAAAGCTAGGCTTTTTAAGTCAACAAATATCCATGTTTTCTATTTGTGATTTGTAGCTGGTTAACACTGCATGGTTTGTTCATGCACATAAGTTCAGACACAACAGCAAGCCAGATTTCAACAAGCCACACTATGTCTTAGTGTTATGTTTGAACCAGGCCATGAAGATGGAAATGGCTGAAACATATATAGAGAGAATACACAAGGGGTTTCCAAAATCAGAAATGCAGAGTCATTAATCATTTCCAGGCAATGCTTTGGACACTCTGGTGTTTGGGAATCACAGGCATAAAGCACAAGATGGGGCCTCTTTGTGTATAGGAACACATAGAGACAGTGATACATAAATTCAACCCAGTTACACAAATATGACTTCAACTGCCCAACCTTCCCATACTTCAGCACCCCTTAGATGATTTATAACACCAGCATTCTGAATCTGACACTATTTATTGGATTTCTAGCCTACCCCATTTGCCAAAAAGGCTCTCTAGCAAAGCTCCCTAGAGTATAACAATCTCTCTCCCTACCTACCTATGGGAAAATGGCTATTTTCTCTGTTCTTTGATAAAGGGAAGCCACCATAAAGCTGAGCAACAGGTTAATGTGAGCAAAGTCAACCAGGGAGGGAATATTGTAGTGTAACTTTAACCAGGTTCGCTCTACAGGCAGGAGGGCCCTGGGTCAAAACCAGGCCAAAAACTTTTGTGGAGATAGGGCCAGGACCAACATCAAGGGTGTGCATGTTTGCCCCCTGATGGGGTGCCCACATCCCAGCCAGGTCCCAGACAAAAGCACCCCGCCTTTCACCATTACGGCCTCCTCATCCCCCTTCCTCTTGCTGCAGCCCAGGCAGAAGAGCGAACGAGGGGAAAAAGCTGCATCCACAGATGCTACTGCTTACTGGCTCCATAGGTCTCTCTCCCTGGCAGCTGGGAACCAGAGTGGTTCAGGAGGGGACTCACTGAAGGCATCCTGCTCCATGGCCCTCAAAACCCCACTGGGCCTCAGTCATCACTAGCACGCAGGCTTTTCACCAAGAAGGTCTCAAGTCTCCTTTCTCACATCTTCAGTTCAAGGTGCTCTGGGAGCAGGACTGGGGGGAAACCTGAATAGCTCCTGGAAATCAAGAGCGGCAAGTGGTGGACCAGTGGCCTGACTTGGCAATCAAACGTAGGCCCATTCTGCACAAGGGGTGGACAGAGGCAAGGCATCCTGTGAGGCTGCGTCTCTCTGCTACAGCCTGCTTGGCATAATGGTTCACTCAGTCTCAGCCAAGAATGGCCATCTCTGAAACACACCTTTTGCAGGGCATTTCAGCCTTGTGCAGAAACTTCTGCATCCCAAACAACAACAGGGCCCTTGCATGGCACGTCTGTTGTTGGTAGACCATTTAATTCAGTATTTTAAATATAAATAAGGCCAAGGAAACCAAAGCCTGAGAGGCATAGCTATACCAGTCTCAGATCCCTAGTTTGGATTAGTGCAACCTAAATGTTAATTCTACTGCAATAATTATACTTCTCCCAGACTAGTGAAGCTGATGTGCTTGAACACAGACAAAACTTAGACCTTTACCGGCAATGGACTTAAGCTGGCTTATATCCCACAGCTTTTAGTTGTATTGGATTGTACATCATGCTCAATTGGGTTGCCTGTCTATATGTAACATGATATATAACATTGTAAAGCATGAAAAAGAAAAAAAAGGGGGGTGCAGTCTTTTCGGTAGGAACAATTAGCATGTATGCAATATTTTGCCTTGGATAAACATCTGATTTGCACCCCCACTTCCCAAAATTGCAGTTTATGCAGCAATTCCTTAATAAACCTGTAACAAATACAGTACAAGAGCATTGGAGACACCTGGAAGGGGTTTTTTCCCTTCACAGTAGAAACATTTCATTTTCCCTGGATAACATTTTGATTTTTTTTTTTCTTTTAGTAAGACAAATAAATAGATTTTGTGATTTATTTTATTTTTTAAATACATTTCCCTCTCTTTCTCTGTGTATATATGTATATATAGATATATATATAAATATAAAAATCATTGCTTGAACTTTTCAGAATAGGGAATTCCCCCCCTCCCCCTTCTTATCTGTACACACCAAAGGAGCTAATATCCACATTTTCCCTTTAATTTGATTTCTATTTCGATGTAAGGCATTAGTGACGTCTGGTGAATTACATTCAACGTGATGATTTTCTATTAAGGGCAGATTCAGGAGTCCAAGCGGAAAGCACCGGATGGGTTGTGCACAATTCAAAAGTAACCTCTGGTCTCTGTGCGGCAATTGCTGGAGCTCGGACGCCATCTACTGGCCATACTGGATGGGTTTTTTTCCTCCACCAAACAAAGCTTTTCCTTCGGCTTTATTCATGTGTCAACCCAGTTCTATAAGAAATAAGATACCAGCTAGATACCTTGGAAAGAAATGAAATAAACAAACAACTCTTTTCTTTGGTTTTTTTGTCCCACCCTAACCGAAAAAGGCTTTAAGAATAATGTGCTGTAACAAAGTCAATTTGTCAACATCATATCAATTGCAAAGGAAAAGAAATTAAAAAACCACACTGCATACAAGAAAACCACTTCAGCATCTCATCCCCAGCAACAATTTCAGCAAAGCAGGTGGGAGATAAGAGGCAAAGGTGATTAGGCCTAATTTGCTCACTTGTTTTAGCTCTTATCCAAGAGAGGGAAAGGGTAATATGCCAAATGATGGCTATTCCAAAATCACAGCACTTCATGCCTGCCATTCTCCACCCATCTCCTTACAAACATAATTTGTTCTGTGCACTTTTAAAATATTTTCATCTGGTCTAAACTGGAAATAAATCTACTTTTTCTCTCTCTCATCCCTTGTAATGGAAAGTAAATAATCCTAGCAACACAGAAGTATTTAAATAAACCTACTTCATATTTTCATTAAAGGGAGAGGGGACTTACCATGATAAAAGTATAACAAATTGAAATGGAAGAAGAGAGAGAGAGAGAGAGAGAAAAGAAAGAAAGAAAGAAAAAGGAAAGCCGATTGGAAATCAGATTTCAGTCTAGAATAGTACTGATAGGGGAAAAACTGCACATGTTGTTATTTTTGTTATATATTCCATTAACATCACAGTGGATTGTACTGTTATTAATAAAATAACATGTGGGCTTACCAGAAGAAAAGGAAACATTGGAATGAAAAGGGTATAGCTACAGTATTATGATTCAAGCTTTTTATCTGCTAATATATACCTATTTTTTTCCAAAACGTTTTATTAGGAAAGCTATACCAGACGCATCACTGTACAATGATTAAACATTACCTTTACAATTTATATTCACTTGGAAGTACAGAATAAATATATGCACATTTTTACTTGTGTGTGTGTGCGTGCGTGCGTGCATGTGTGTGCAAAAGGAAGAGAAAGGGAGAGAACATCAAAAGTGCTTCTTCTATAGAGATGACTCTGTGTGTGCATGTGTTTGTGTGTGTGCACGTGTGCGTGTGTGTGTGTGTGTGTGTGTGTGTGTGTTTTCCCTTTGTCTTTCCCACCAGTGTATGTATCATGTTGGGGTCTCTTGAATCAGAAGTGTGGCTGTCCTCCATAAATAATAACAATAGTGATAACGATCAAACAGTAATGACCTTTCCTTTTGTGTAGGAGAGCCACAGATGGAACAAATGCAGAACTTGCCCACTTAAGAGGATAGTTTGAGGCTTTGCAGAAATGCCCCTTCTGCCAATGAAAGGGAGATTTAGTGTGGTACCCCCTTTATGGGGAGGGGGGTCAAAGATTGGAGAAGGGGAGGCATGTGGGAAAACAGGAAAGGGGAGGGCTGGGCATGGTGTGGGGTGTGTTTGGGTCTGTGTGCATGTAAGTGAGAGAAAGAGAGAGAGAAAGACAAGAGTGTGAGAACATTAAAAAAGACCCTCCCCGCTCCTGCAGTTTCCAGACATGCAGCAAACTGGATTTTTGTTGTTATTTGGTCCCCCCCACCCCACTTGGTTCTCTTTTTAAATAAATGTACAGAATTTGTGCCATGATGAAGAAAAGAGGAAAGAAAGCCGCAAAAGGTTTTGTCTTTAAGTCTGCCTCCCTCCCCTCAACATAAAAAGATTGAACGGAAGGGGGTTTTTTTTGTTTTTGTTTCTTAAAAAAAAAGCTATAACAGAAAAAAGAGCACGCGAGAGCGAGAGGGAGGGAGAGAGAAATAGCGCAATATACATAGAACTGACTTTGTCAGGATTGAGACAAATAGCCACCCCCCCATGTACTAATTATAATAATATTCTTATACCTTAGACAACATGGCACAGTCAAAGTCTCAGTTTCTCGGTATAAAAAAATAATGATTGATTAACATCTGCTGGCAAAAGTCTGCAAAGGCACTTTATCGATTAATGATCATCTGAGTTGGGCCTTTCCTCCAAACCAACGTCTGGCAGGGGGAAAGTGCAGAGCTGTATCCTCTAGTATCAGCATGCGGTGGTCTGGGGCAGGAGGGGGGAGAGGAGGGGGCAGGGCGGTGTGGCGGGGCTCGGGATTTGGCTGTAAAAGCTAGACATTTTCAAAACCTATAAGTGGTCTTCTCCAGGACTTCGAGGTAATCCGGCTTGGTTTGGAGTTTGGCCCTTAACTCGAGGTATTCACTTTGGGGGGTTTGGTGGTGGTCTGGGAAGCCCTTACCAGCTGAGAAGAGGAGGGTTTCTTTCAGCCTGGCGTCCTGCTGCAGGTCTGGGTATTGCATGCCAGGAGGGTGAACGTGCAGTTCCTTTAATTTGGGCACTGTGCCGTAGAGGCAGTCCACAAAGCCCACTGTACACGGAGAGGCTAAAGGCGGCCTCTCCCTGCTGTCTAGAACGGCACCGCCAGGGGGGAAGAGCACCACCCCACCATTCTTCTCCGGGTGGAAGACCGGTGGCACCAGTGCTATCTCCCCCATGAGAGGCAAGCCCCCACCCATGCCCCCTCCAGGAGGGTGGGGGTGCGGGTGATGGTTGGTGGTCACTATGGTGTTGAGCTGCGAGCTGGACACGGCCAGGCTCCACTCCTTCTCCTTCTCCAGCAAGGTCCTGTAGCAGCTACTGTTCCCGCTGTCCTTGGCAGCAGGATCGGCAAACTGTTCCCCCGCACAGCTACCACCTCCTCCTCCCAAAATGATGTCCCCCGGCTGCCCAGGCTCCCCGGCCACCACGTCGTCCTCCTCACGTGGCTTGTAGATGGGGTTGTTGCACATCTGAGTCACGGGGTGTGGGATGTAGTCATAGACGTGGCCCACTGGGGGGGCCTTCTCTGGGGAGGCACTGATGCCCCCACCTCCTCCGCCTCCACCCTCCTCGAAGAGATGGTGGCATTGCATCTGGATGCCGGTCAGGTCGAGGGCCTCCTGCCGCTGCTTGTTCCGGAAAGGTAGCTTCTTGCGCCGTCGGCGGAGGACAAAGGCAAACAGGCCTGCAGCGATGAAGACTGCAGAGAAGAACAATATGAGGAGGCTGAGGATGAGCACAGAGAGGGGCACTGGGCCTCCTCCGGCTGGTGGGAGCTCGTACGGCGAGGGACTGGTGGGACTGGGATGGCTGTGGCCCCATGCTGGTGGGGCTGGCGAGGCGGCGGCAGCATGCAACATTTCGGGGCACAGCACCTCCAGCTCCACGGAGCGGATCTCTCGGTTGGTGAGGTTCTCGGGGCTGGCGCAAAGCACATCCCCCAGCACGATGACTGAGCTGATGGTCTCAATCCACTGCTTGAGTGGCACCAGGTCACACGTGCAATCCCACGGGTTGAGCTTCAGGTCAATCTGCACGATGGCATTGAGGTGCTCCAGCACACCCGCCACAGGCAAGGAGAGGAATTTGTTGTTCCGTAGGTTAAGCCTAGCCAGGGAGGTGCCGGCAAAGGCATCGGTGGGCAGGGTCCTCAGGAGATTGTCGTTGAGGAAGAGCAGCTTCAGGTTGGGCATGAGACTGAAGGCGGCAGGCTGGATCTCCCTGATCTGGTTGTACTCGAAGTACAGGTAATGCAAGCTCTGCAAGCCCCGAAACATGCCTGGGGTCAACCTCTCGATGTCATTGCCATTCAGGTACAGGCTCTTCAAGTTGGGCAGATTAATAAAGGCCCCATCCTGCACGTAGGAGATCCGATTGTTCCCAAGGTGCAGGAGATCCAAGGAGGAGAAATTCCAGAAATCAGAACGGTAAATTTTCTGTATCAAATTTCCACTTAGGTACAGTTTCTTGGCATTGACCGGCCTGGGCAGGAGCTCAGAAATATTGTGGAACCCTCTTTCTTTGCAATTGACTGTGAGCCCCAAATCATTGATGTGCAAGCTGCAAGAGCAGCCGGTAGGGCATATGATAGGAATAGGAGGCCTTGTCTGGTACCCAGCGATAGGAGGCTGGTTGGGTGCAGGATACAGGCCTCGAGGTGTGGGGGGTGGCTTGTGAGCCCTGGGCTGTTTGGTAGGTTTGGGCTGCTTAATGGAGGTTTTGTACTCAACAGAGGAAGCAGTGAAATGGAAGGAGGACAACATGGAAGAAGGTTTAGTAGGCCATGCATTCTCCTTGCTTGAGGGCAGCTGAGGGACACCAGCGCTGACCAACTCTGAGTCAGACAGCAAAGGGCAGAGTTTGCTCCTTTTAATTTCCCTCAGGTCCTTACCATGGAAATGGAAAGGGGTCTCACAGGTGATGTCTCCCACAAGGGCAGTGTAAGGTATGCGTTCCAGCCAGCTCTTGAGCTGAACAATCTCGCAAGTACAGTTCCAAGGGTTCTCTTCCAACTGGATCTCCATCAGGCTCCTGCCAATGTGGTCTAACATGCCTCGGTAAGAGAGCACTTTCAACCTGTTTCCACGCAAGTCCAAGTGAGTTAAAGACACAGACTTAAATAAATTGGTGGGAAGCATGGGAATAAGGTTGTCATTCAAGATCAGGACCCGCAGCTTGCTCAGGTTGCGGAATGCCCCGCTTTCAATCCGCTTAATGACATTGTAATCTGCCTGCAGATATTCCAGACTCTCCAAGCCCAGGAAAGTATCGTTTCGAAAAATGTCTAATTTATTCTCGTGCAGGTACAACCTCTTCAAAATTTTAAGCCCGTTAAAGGCTCCCGTCTGAATGTCTTGTAGTGCGTTGTTCCCAAGGTTAATAGAAACAGCATTGTTCAAGTGGAGAAAACTGTTGGTGTATAATCTCCTCATGGAGTTTCTCTGCAGGTAAAGTTTGAAAGGTCTGGACCATGACTCCGTTATCTGACTAATATTTATAAATCCCTTGTTGTCGCAGTGTATATGAAAAAGGCTCTCTCTGACTTCACAGTAGCAAGGATCAAAGCAAGGTTCTTCTATTTCCTCCGAGTCCTCTATCAAGGGAATGGGGGTAGTCCATGCTACGGCAATTGTGCTTAGAAGAATAATCCACAGCATCCTTCTTTTGCAGGGTCGATCTGCCGCTGGAGACTTCATGACTGCGATGGATTACAAAACTGCAAATAGAAATTAGAGATACAAATGGATTATGGGGATCTGCATTTTATCAGGGAGGTTTTGTATTTTAAGAAATAAAGGACTGCTATCAGATGGGGTGGCTGCTGGAAGTTCATTCCAAAAGCAAACTCTAGTTTTGTTGCTCAGAACCTTCCCTGGGTTTTGACTTAAGTAATATTGAAACATTTGTCAGGAAGTGGCCTTCCTCTCTCCCCTGTCTCACTCCCCTCTTCATTGCCTGCTTCCTCCTCTTCCTCTTGTTCTTCCAAGCTATTTAGTAAATGACCCCATAATGAGAAACAGCAAATGAACAGATAGGGCCCATGTTGCTTAAAACAGAGAAACAGATTTCAGTACAGGGATAACCACTGCTCAAGCAGCCTAGAACCCATCATCTCAGTCTTACCTCTACACCTACATCAATTAGAAGAGAAAGATTTTTATCTGGTACAGAGACACGTAATGAATCCCTAGACAATACCATCATAAACCCACATACTCTTAACTTTCAAGTTATTTGGTTCTGACAAGGGAATATTTCACTTGCCTAACAGGAGGCTGGCCATTGCTTTGGGAAATGGGGCTGGCCAAGTTTCTGACGTCCCTGATCCCTACATAAATGTTTATAACTGAGATTCGGATCCCTAGACATGATTCGTGGCAACCCTGGTCTCAAAAACACTGATAGGATGGAGCAGGACAAGTCTCTTTCCCTTCCAAGCACATAAAATGGATTAATGCCACTGGTATAGTATCAGATAAATGCACACTCCATATTAGTCATTTCAGCTGATTAAAGCATTTAGAGATGATTAATCTTTCCAAAGCACATGCCTGTGCCACCCGGAGATTCAAGGGGGAAGAGACAGTTGAAAGCTCAGGACTGAAAAGGCTGCTGGGGTGCATGTGCCGGGGGTGGGGGGTAAAAGAGGCTATCTAGTGGCTGTAGGACCTTCGGGGGTGGGGGTAGGTAGCTGGGATCCAGTAACAGAAAGAATGACAGGAGAAGGACTCAAAGTACGAGAAAAATACCTTTACACTAACCACAGGCAAAATAACCCTGGCTTCACACTAAAAGCTCACAAAAGCATCCACTTAGAAGAGGTTACCAGAGCTCTATGACCTACAGAGCTTCTTCTTTGGGGAGGGGGTCTTTCTCGCCTCGATTCTTTTCCCCAGATCATTCCGACACAGAAGAATAAATCACTGTTAGAGACGATGAATCCTGACAACGGTGGCTTTGCAGCCCTACTTGCTGCTGCCCGTTCAAATGGTTTTGTCGGAGTCTTGGTATTTCGTTCTGCCCTCCTCATAGGAGCTTTATAGACACGGATTATCTTTCACTCCCCTCCATGCAGGGGAAGGGAATTCCTCCCTCCCCATTAAGGAAAAAAGAAGCAGCATCCTTAATGGAAAAGGGCATATATAGGAAGAGAAATAGAGCATGGGGTGGGGGGGGGGTAAAATTAAGAAATGAAAGCAAAGGCTTAATTTGCAAATGAAGGAAATTGGGGAGCCCAGTGGGAGGAAAAATACCAGCTACAATTCAAATGAGAAAAAACGGGGAGAAGGGAGCTCTTATTTCAGCATTTTTTCTTTGTCCTGTTCTTTCAAGGGCTGTTTGAAATATATGTTAGCTACTTAAATTCTTTTCTCTTCTGCATTAAAAAAAATGTTCCACATAGGCAGAAAAGGGGGAGGGGGAGAGAGAGAAAGCGAGAGAGATCCAGAAAAAGCTTGTACTTACCGGGTTGAAGGAGAGATTTCAGCACATTTGGAGAGAGAGGAAAATAGCCAAACCCACTTGGAAAAAATGCATATACATATAGAATTTCAAGAGCCTTAAAAAAAAAAAAAAGATGCTGGTTTCTCTCTTTCTCTCTGTTCTGGTTCTATACTCTTGCTGAGGGCTGAGGCAAAAGGAAGGGGGGGCGAGCAAGCAAAGATGAGACGTGCTAGGAATGCAATGAGCTTCTTTAGGATGCAGAGATGCTGCTTCACACAGTCAATGGAGGAGGGAGGCAAAGGGGGCTGCTGCAGGCTGCCGCTGCCTTCTCTGGGTACCACCAGCTCATCTTTGGAATCGGAGGGAAGGGAAGGACTATGGCAGGAGAGTCGGGCTGGGGCTTCTCCCCTTCACTCCTTCTTTCTCTCTCTCTGTGTGTGTGTGTGTGTGTGTGTGTGTGTGTGCGTGCGCCACTGTGTGCGTTGTTGCCCCCTGGATCAGTCTTTTTCCACGTCATGATTCCAAGCTTCAAAAAAGAGGAACAAAAATGTAGGAGGATGCGCTTGGCATCAAGTCATGGGGGGAAGTGCATCTGGGAAGCCCCAACTGTATGGGGGCTGCCCCCCCTCCTGTCTTTCAGTAAGAAGGAGGGGGGCTGAGTTACTGGGTGAGGCAGGAGCGAGGGAATCCGTGATGATGGGGAAAGAAGGAGAGGCCAAAAGAGCCAGGATTCAAAGGGGAGGAGTGGTCACTTCCCTTTTTCCTCCTGGAAAAAAAAAAAAAAACACCTCTGGGAAGGGTGGGTTGGGAATGTCCCCTGGGCCACCAAGTGTTGCAAATTCCAGCAAATCCTTGAGAGCTGCAGCCATTAAGGGGAGATACTCGCCCCCTCCACCTAACCTGGAACTTGTCTTGCCTTGCTCGATTCCAGTAAGTGCTACATCTAGTTAGACCTCTCCAGGCACTGCCCGCAGTTCTCCAGCATACCTAATCCTGTCCCACAAGAGGAAAAATAAAGGACAGTTTGGGAAGGAACTTGGATAAGACCTTCTTTCTCTTCCTTGGTCCTCCACCCACACCTCCCCTTTCCACTCCCCCCTCCTGCTGCAGCTGAAAAGATCCAACAGGCTTCTGTTTCTGTCCACTCCCCCCCCCACCCCAAGATCCCAGGCAAATGTTTGAGCTACTTTGGGTGACATAGGAGCATTTGGCATCTTCTCATTCATTTCCACAGAGGGGAAAAGAGGGACAGGATTAACCTCTGCTCTGCTTCCACTACCCTCACATGATCATACCTTCCCCTCCCCGACTACATACTTCCTTTTTTCCTATTTTATTTAACCCCCTCTCCCCACAGGACTGGCCTTGACATGCTATCTGGTGCCAGGAAATATGATGGGGAACCCCTATGCCCCAGTTTTCCTTCCTGGATCCAAGAAGATGACAACAAAGTGGTCCCTAAAGGTAACCGAATTAATCTTTTTCTGTGTGTGTGGTTGTTAGACAGCAAGGGGTTAACAGAAAAAAGTGGGGGGGGCACTTCGGGAGGGCAGAAAGAAAAAAGTGTTTAGAGGAACGAAGAGGTTTCCCAGCGCAGCAGCCTCGCCGTCTAGTAGGTGAAGAGCTGCCCCGCCAGCTTCCCTGTGACTCGTAGTCAGAGGCGAGAGCGTGAGCTCTTCTGAACCCAGAGGGAGGTTTCTTGGGTCTGTTCCAAGGCTTTCGGCCCCTTGCCCCCACCCCTCACGGGGAACTCTTCCCTTTCGAAAGCCCATGCTTCTCAAGACAGATTTCAGATGCTTCGCTAATTTCTCTCGGGTCAAAAGAGAGACACCCACGCCCCATTCTATGTTGCTTCGGAGGGCCGGTCTCTCTCTCCCTATGGGAATTGTGACGCGGGAGGAGTGGAGAGGTGACCGCGAAACTGTAAGGGGGCAATTTCATGAATTCGTTCCTTGTGAGATGCAGGTTTTGCCTCGCAGGAAGGAGGCTTCCACAGGACTCCCCGCCCCCCACTTCCCCGGGATCCCACAAAAAGAGAGTTGAGCCTTGGAGCGCGTTCGGAAATCAGACAGCTCGGCGAGACGCGCCGGCCATCCAGGCGCCTGCTTTCCTGCCCTTTCGCCCCAGCCTCTCCGAAGAAGCCGCACAGGGAACCAACCAAGCCTCTCCCCAGCAACCCTGGCTGCCGGCCCGATCCCCCGGCTTCCATCGGAGGCAGCGGCGACTATTCATGGGACCGTCCTGTTGCGGCAAGGTAGCGGCTGTCCTTGCTCGTTCAAACGCCGCATCGTCGTGGTCGCGGGTCGTTATTGTGTGCTGACTTTCTTTCGGCGCAAAGCAGGAGAGGGCACGTTTGATGAAAGCGTGCGAGGGGTGTGTGGCTAGGTGGGGAGAGGAAGGCACGGATTCGATGGAGATCGCGGCATGTTTTACGCGGTGGCGAAGGCGACGGAGATCCAGGGCAGAGGGACCCCCCGCGTATATAAATGGATAAATAAATAGGCCAGGGAAGTGCCCGCCGGCGAGCGAAGGAGAACCTCTTCTTCCCCCACCTTTTCCATCCCTCCCCGTCACGCCGCGCCACGCCGGATCCCTCTTGGGGACTTCCTCGCGGGCGCAACCCGAGCAAACGCGGCAAACCACGAAGTGCGCCCGTCTCAAGTTTCCGCGCGCTCTCACGCTACCCAAAGCAACAGAAGACAACGCGCGCGCGCAGCAGCAGCATCGCGCGCGCGCGCTCACACATTCACATACACACACTCACACACACACTCATATACACAGGGAGAGACACAGACACATGCAGACGCACGTACACACGCGCGCGCAGCGCTGCAAGCAAGCCTCGTTGCTCAGCCGGATGAACGGACAAAGAGGAAGGACGGTGAATACCTAACGCGATCCACGCGGGGTCGACATCTCGGAGGAGGAGGAAGGCGTCAACGGGTCTCCTCGCGCGGCATGGCTTCGCAGGGCGCAGGAGAAACTCTGCCCCGTCCTCCCTTTCTTCCTGGCTGAACGGCGGCTCGGAGAGGTCCATCCTCGTGGGCCGCAGCGCTCCCTGGTCCCGCGCCGCCGCGCCTCCTTTGCTTCAGCAGCAGCCGCGCCGCCGCCGCCGCCGCCTGCCCGGCCCCCGGCCGAAGGCGGCTGCCGCCTGCCCGCTGCAACCCGTTCCCGAGCGCCACCGCAGTCGCTGCTGCTGCTGCTGCTGTTGCTGCGTTCCCTCCCAATCCCTGCCGCGCTTGGCCGAGGA